TGTTTAATTCGACCTGTTCTCAGTTGGTGAGCGAAAAAAATTTTATCGAAGGTGCAAAGTGACTCATACAATACAGCTTGTGTCATGTAGTCAACGGTGTTTTTGGCAATAAATAGTGTAATGGATGGAAAAGAAGTGTTTCGTGCCTGAGAATTCCAAACAAAAAATAATCAAATATCTAACTGCAAATGTTGGAGAAGTCTTTTCCATCTGACGGTCGGATGTCAAATATCAGTGACCAAACCACAGAGCAGCACTGAATATCAGAACGTTTAATCCGATCCGCACCTCAAATCGTTCTAAAAAATGTCAGGAAGTGGACGGAAATGGTTTCATTATAGTTTTAAACGACAGGACATATTTTCGTGTGAGTGACTAGTTTGGAGAGAGCCTAAACCTTGCACCGATGAAAGCAAGTATCGTTAAGATCCGGAATAAATTGCCACCAGGTCATCGAACTATCGATCTCGAGAATCATTAGGTACATCGTGTTCTTTTCGTTGCTACTGTACAATCTAGGAATTTCTAAGCTGATAAGAATGGAAGATATAGAACAATGCCATGAAAACTAGACTTCAGCGTGAATGCATCTTATATCCGGACGAATAATAAATGAATGTTAACTTCTAGGAATTATTTACGAATTATCATTACATATATTTTTATTGGATAACTATTATGTAACTGTATTATATGTATATTCATATTCCCTCTATCATAATCTTCCATTTGACCTATTGCCTATGGTTATACGATTTATCATTCTTAACTTATTCCCAATTTATTAGTTACAGCTTCCCACGCTCACAGTCGAACTTGTATGATTCTTACTTTTTTATTTTACGGTACGATGCAGTTTGATTTGCCTGTATGTAAACTATGTATGTCTGAAATGTACTATTCATGCAGTGGAGGCTGAGATTGCTTTTTGGATTCAACAGGCAGGGCTAGGTGTGTAGGGCCGATGAGGATTCAGAGTTGACGCATGGCTTCTAGTACTGTTTTGATGTATCATTGGTTTAGCACAAGAAAAATGTCATATAAATTGATGTCCTAATTGGTGGTTTTGTCACGTAACAATTAACAGAGTAAAGTCATAACATCATATTACTTATTTTGCAGTATTTTGCCGCCATTTTGAAATTAGCTGCTAAAATTACACATAGTTTTATCCGTCTAACAATCAATTACTAATGAATCCCCACGATAACAGAAAGCATATGAAAATTAGTGTCCTTGCCGAAACGAAGTCACAAGCCTCTTTTACAGTTCAAACAAATGACTGATTTTCATGATGGAGTGATGTGGTGATTAAATGAACTAATAATACCTTTGTACTTGTTGAATGCTCGATTTCGAATTCCAAATACAATACATACGTTTGTGCTTGTGTCTCACTTCTTAATTCAATTGTGTTATTTCTGGGACTCTTAGTTCGTGCTATAATTCAAATAATTCAAAACATTATAAGTGATCACTAAAGTATATCATAAATACTTCACTATACAGGTAAGTACCATTTGGATAATAAACTGAGAGTCCTCTATTGTTGGGTTTTTATGTGGAGGTTATCTAAACTCAAATACTCCTAGATCATCCAGAAATTGCATGAAAGGCTGATGAGCAACCATATTTGGTGAAACGAGAAAACATGACGGTCAAATGCAAGAGCTCCATGGAGTTAGGGACTCAATAATCATGACATAATGTCAAAACTCCCTGAATCAGGCCGCGGATATGTGCCAAAAGATAATGAACGGGCGTGGTTTTCTCTTATACGTAAAGTGTGGAAAAGTAACCCACACTGTTTGTTTGGTTGCCGGATAATTCCCGAGCCTCTCACACGCCCGAATCCACTTTTGGCCAATCTTAGCATTTCGGAAGCTAGTCGGCGCACTTTCGAAATTACAGATGGCCCTGTAGTCGTGATTTGACGTTTAACATTGATGGTTTTACAGCAGTTTTGGCCGTGTTACATACATGTAAGGGTACCTGTTGTGTGTCCGATGAAAATGTGGATCAATTACATGCTTAACCGTGATCGGGCATTACCTACAACCAGAAAATGAAGTTCTCAGAGTAAGAGAATCACAGAGATCTGTTACTTTTTTAAGTCGTTTAGAGCCGGAATTTGACAAGGTAGCCTCTTTTCTGGGGGTTCTGGTGATCTCCAAATCCGATCGATAAACGCACCCAGTTTTCTGCGGGGTTATTTGGTAATGAGACGAGTTCTACTTGCGTCTTTTGAGGAAATACTGTATAAAGAGGCCTTCGCTAAAAGTTCGTTGACTGATGAACTCCCTCATATGCAACAACATTTCTGTTTCTGAGATTTTTTCGGAGTTAGATATTGAGGAATAATTGGTCCAACCGTTATCGACTGGTTGGGTTTCCATATTTAAAGACAGCCTTTATGAGTGTATTGTAAGGTTCGAAAGCATCACTAATAACTATACTAGATCTAACCTTTTGGTATTTCGAATTATTTGAATTGTAGTATGAACTAAGAATCCCCGAAATTATGCAATTAAATCAATAAGTACTAGATGAGCACAAACGAATGTCTTGTATTTAAAAATCGAAATCAAGCAATCAAGAAGTACAATAGAATCATTATTTCATTCAAACACCACATCCGCCTCAGCTTAAATTGGTGTCTAGGTGTCTGTAATTGATTGTACATCTTCTCGAGTTCATCCTGTGTCTGTCCAACATTGTATTGGATAAGAACTCTGTAGTATCTAGAATGTGCTCATTAGTATTGGAATTAACAAACGAAATCGGAACAGACTCATCGGGAATTGTATACAATCAGCATGTTGGTTTTGTACTGCAATCATTAATATCTGGAATTCGAACCATAGATTTTCCAACACTATCCTCCACCACGAAATAACGTTGGATCTTTATATCCCCAAGTTATGAATAATGTTGCTTCATTTAAGACATGTTTCTCACATTGTTTAGAGTAAGCATTAGAACTGTTTCTGTGTTAAGGATAAACAGCATTTGATATGAAATCATCTGAATTGTAATCGAAATCGAGGTCATTTGGTACTCGTGCTTCGCATTGAACAAGTTTTTCACAAAGATCAAATGCATTATGAGGATAGGCAATATATAATATGACATCAGGATTTGATTCGTCTGAAATATTTTCATGAAATTTAATAAGAATTTCATCGCAGAGTAAAGGATCATTAGAAAAATCAGCATCTATCCAAACCACATCAGGTTTTCCATCATGATTATGTTCACTCAACATATTTTCCTAAGATTTGTTAGAAATTTCGTCAGAAATATGTGAAACATCAGAAAAGTCATACCTGGTACAATAACATAAGAATTCTGATAAATGGATTGATTAGAAATCGTTGTCTCACAAGGATTCTGAGTTTCATTTAACTCCGAACTACTATATGACTCTACACTGTCTTTTAAAATCGTCGATAAAGATAAATGATCATTATGAATACTCGACTCAGTACAATCAGAATTACAAGACTTGATATTAGTTGCAGTAAGATGAGCATCGGTATTACAGACGGACTGAGTATGTCCAATATCACCACATTCAAAGCACTTAGAATTACGAAATTTACATGAATTAAAAGAGTGGAGTTTGCCGCAGGACAAACATTGACCAAACTTGTCCCCATCTTCGTGAAATGCATTGCAACTCCTCAGTGAATAATGTGCATAGCTCTGCGTATGCACTGGGTTGGGATTACGTAGTAATGTAGTGGTGTTTTTAATATCTTCATGAATCATTTTACGAGATCTTCCTCCTTTACCGCATTCGAAATTTGTATAATTAACATAGTCTAGCAGTAGTTCCTTGAGAGCTGTTTAAGGAAGCGAAATGAGCTTTTCAGGCATAGCCAGAGTTTTAAATAAGCTATATGCTTCTTTTCCAGTAAATGTGAGGAAGTGTGCCACAATATTAACATCATCATCTTCCTTGGTCATAGCCCAGAATTCCAACCTTTCCAAATAATCCTCAAAAGCTTCAGAAGTTGAATGAATATCTGACTTTTCCATCCCAGGCTCCAACGCGACGCCACCATGGTATTTCGAATTATTTGAACTTTAGTATGAACTAAGAATCCCCGAAATTATGCAACTGAATCAAGAAGTACTAGATGAGCACAAACGAAAGTATTGTATTTAGAAATCGAAATTAAGTATTCAACAAGTACAAATGTATCATTAGTTCATTCAAACACCACAAACCTATCTGTAGAAACTTTGTGGTCATGCCTTCGCTGCTATGAGAAATTGTGCACATGGGTACTTTACGTCATATTTAACAGGACCACGAATCTTTATTATCAGGCCAGAATGGCACGAATGAATATAGGAGGCGCAAGATTCCTCATTTTTGATAGTTTAGGTACTTGTTCCAACGTTATGTAGGCAAAATGGATAAATAGACCGAAAACCCCAAGGGTAAAAAAATAATATCGCGATATGTGAAATTGAAAAGGGATGTATAATGTCACAACAAGGAACAAACTTGCAGTTCATTGTTTGATATAACCTGTTATTTCGACTTCACAATTAAGATCCCACAAATATTCAGGGTTTGACAACACAAGATACGAATTAGGCCGAATTATAAGTTAGGGATGATTGAGTTGGAAGATATATTTGGAGAGTAATCGAACTGTTGAAAACCACTCTATCTAACCTGGCTAGTTGTTGAGAGGGATGAATAGAACGGCGTACATAATTGTAATCTGGTATGAATTCGTTGTCGAGCGCCCTTATTTGGGGTGTCCTCAGTAAAACTGATGAAGTCAGAATCAATGTCAAAGACTTACACAGCTTTTTACTTTGAGGATTGATTTACCGCTACAAGCTAGACTTCAACCGATCAACTTCACTGGAAACCGATAATTGTGATGTAGCACAAAAAGGTCAAAAAACTGGCTTGCACTTATCAGCTCATCACAAGTATACTTCACTTGTCTTCTTAGTGTTTACTCAATCAATTGAATATTGAATATGACATGACAACGGAGTAAATTGTCATGACCGCGGTGTTTGGTCATTTCCTTTTTTAGACTGCCTCAATGTTCGCTTAAATATTCTTCATTTTACCTCGACTTCTTCTCTCTACTCTGCCGCCCAATTTTCAAGCAGTTTCACATGTAACTAACATTACATGTGAGTCGAAAATGTGCTCCCATTTTAATTTTAACTCAACTGTAGTTCTAAGTCAATTAGGCTGATTAGTATCAAGTGGCTATCGAACCATTTGCCTAAAAACCTAAAAACGCTGTTCACACAATCCGTCTACCAATTTGAGGAACCTTCAAAATGGTCAAAACCAATGTCATTTGTTAAAGTGATATACCTATCATTATCTGAAACTTGGTGAGGGAAACTATGATTCTTATTCGTGGGAATCGTTTTGTGAGACGTCTTTCACTTTATCGCTGCAAGTTATGTATGACAATATACGTGGTGGTAGCAGTTTTCTTCATCATAGCCAGTTTTCCGAATCTTCCGCCTCGGGTCGTTTACACTCATCCTGATGAACTTACTGATAAGGAGCTCTGTAGCCAACCAGGAAGCAAAGGTATTTTTGTAACAGTTAATTTATCACTTACTAGTCTGTTGCCCGAAAAGTGAAGAGCTTGATCTAACCCAATATAGCTCAGATACTCCCACAGATTTTCTGAACTTGTTATATGAAGCTCAGCATGTTTGTGAGGGGAGTTGGAAACCGCAATGTGTGTCTTCACAAAAAATAGCTGTCATTATACCCTATAGGGAACGAGAAAAGCACCTTAAGTTATTATTGCCAAGACTACATGCTTTGTTGCTACGACAAAATATGCCGTATTATGTTTTTGTGATTGAGCAGGTAAGGAGTTTATGTTGATAGTATAATTTGTAAAGGTTTTGATTTATTCTTATCATTCCATCATCTGTTTAACATACTTGTGGAATTAAGACCACTTCAGTTTAAAAAATTGATGGAACTGACGTAGTCGCTGAGTAGTTTATTTACTAGTTTCATTCGATGATGACAGTTGTTTAATGGAACAGTATAACGGTTTAACACTAATTACTTGAATCCCCAACATTGTGTTGATCGAATCTTTCTCAAAGATATCAGGCTAACTTTACAGGACAGAAATTCGTGGATCATTCATAACTAATAAGTCACTGTACAGAATGTATACTAAGGTTTGCAATAGAACATATGTTAATTAGTCTCACTATTAGTCAGATAAATATAATATTTGGTCACTACGTGCACGCCACTTACATTTAAATGCATACCACTAATTTCTGACTAAATATGGCGTATTTCATGTATCAGAGTAATATATGAAAAGTTATGACTACTGCTTATTCCTCGCAATTACAAATTTTAAGTGTAAGGAGGCTCGTTGTCCCACCTAGAGACGTCCAACTTTGCGGGATGAATTGGGTCGTGTCACCAAGCTTGATCAAAAACTATCTCTCCTTCTTGAATAATTAAAAAATATGAAAGTCAGGGATTCGTTTTGAGAAGAATTAGCCATGCGCCTAGTCTATCTTAGAAAAACGGTTTATCTTGGATAAGCTTGGAATGGTATCCAAATGGCTTTAAGCACAATTACAAAATAAACCTTTTGACTGACTTAGTGTCTGAAATAATACTCTTTAACCATCTGATTCTAAAACAACTCTTGTAAAAAGCAAAACATGAATAATCAGGATGATTTTAGACCTAGAAACAAATGAGCCCAACAAATATTTGCTTAACATCAGGTTGTAGATCACGGATGTAATTACCGATGCTAAACTACTGTCGAAGTTCTCAAACCTCGGGACAGAATTGGACTCCATTGACCGAGAGGTTTTGTGGCAGTGTTTTTCACAGGAAGGTGTTCTAAAGAAGTACAGAAGCTCTCAAATGGTTCTGCATTTGACGCCAATTTAGGAGGGCTTTTATCAGGGTCACCTACCGTCCCACTTCTGATCCAATTTCTTCGCAGATGCATCCAAAGAAATGACACCTTTCAATTTTAAGACGTTAGTCAAATCGGGTGATTCACCTGTTAGTTTTTCATACTCAGACGACATGTTTTTATTCAGTAAAAACACTGGGTTTAAATACTAACATGCATAAGTATGGTAATTAGGAGTATTTGAATTATAGCATGAACTAAAAATCATAGAAATAACGCAACTGGATCAAGAAGTACTGGATAAATACAAACGAATGTACTGCATTTGGAATTCAAAATCAAGCATTCAACAAGTGTAAAGGAATCATTAGTTCATTCAAACACCACAATAAGATACCTTTAGTCCCTTTAAATCAAAAATATTGCTCTGGGACTGGTCTGTGTTAGTGTCTAAACTTTGATATCTTGGTATCCTCATCATTCCAGGTGCATTATTAACTAATAAAATCTTTGGATGGATAGTATTCATTTCTAAATTATTTTCAAACTGGTCTTATTATCTAGGAAATTTATCTAGTTTTGCTATATACATACATATTTTAGTTTTTTAAACTGACTGATTATTTTTTTCTAAGGCTGGAACCACTCCTTTCAATCGTGGACTACTATTTAATGTTGGAGTTTTGCATGCACTGGATATTGATCCAGATATTAATTGTTTTATCTTTCATGATGTTGATCATTTACCTGAGAAAAGTGAAAATTTTTATATTTGTGATACAGAATTAAGACATTTATCACCTGCTGTTGATGACTTCCGATATCATCCACCATTTGTAAACTTTGCAGGAGGTGTTGCTGCTATGTCTAAAGAGAATATTTTCAAGGTGAGAAAAAAAGACGTTATGTAATGTAATAAAAATTCGGAAACATTCTAAAATATTTTGTTTCTATCCCCAAGTATTATATTTTACTAAAGTATGCAAATAAATGGTTTTTAACTTTCTAGGAAAACACCTCAAGTAGATGTACCTTTTAAGAACTAAATTAGGAATTCATTTACAATGTTTGTAACAGTTTCTTGTCTTTTAATTAATCAACGAAATGAAAACTGGTTCAGTGTTAAGACTATTATAGTTTGGTTTATTTATGAAGTCTTTTAAAGTTAAGGCATAATATATGATGCCTAATAAATGTGAAAGAGTAATTCAAATGCAAGAGATAAGTTCTTAGCTAGTGATTGTTTAATTTCTCTATATATCTTCTAAATAACTTCTAGATATGTTGAATAAAACTATCTTGTCGTGGCACCACTTGAAATTTTGCAAAAATATACTATTACAAAAATTGCTAATTGGAGTACAATTATGAGTATAGTTCTTGTCTAATATCAATTTACCACGTTGTTGTTTTTAGACACAATAACTATATATTCCATTTTACAGTTGTTTACATTCGTAGCACTTAGTAATCTTTCTATTTCACCTTCAATGTTAATACTTAGCTTAGCTGATATGCATTTGGTATCCAGTAAAAAGTCTGACAATCATCTTTGAAAAGATAAGTAATTTGACAGAGCAAGAGTTACCGTAAACGAATTTCATCAGAGCTCACATTTAAGCATACAAATCCGGTGTATCACAATATAATATCCATAAGTAGGAATTTAATGTTTAATGACGTAAAATGACGAAATTCTTTTATAAATTCTTAAGCTGTTATTTATTAAGTTAATCATGTATCCTCAAAAATGTTGACTCTGACAACTGTGATGTGTGCTACTGATGTCGACAGTCATAAGTAGTATGTACCATCAGTCAAAAGTGAAATACCTGGAGGGAGAAGGTTAAGAGGATCAAAGAAAAGAGAACAAGAACAAAGAATGACTGGTGTGGAAACGAAAGAACAGTGAAGTCTGAGACAAATGATTGACATTTTGTAAATGAAGTATTTATTGTATGGTTCTCAGATTTTACTGAGAGATTCCGTGATTTTGTGTTTGAGTACATTCGATTGTCCCCACTTGTGTTCTCATTCTCTTCATTAAACATTAGTCGTTAAGCTTATATTATATAGGCTTACTGTAATGTATATTCAATTTCTTTTACCCACTGCTTTTTTATATAAGTACTATTTTTAATGATATTGAGAAATATGAAAACTTCGACTATTACCGATTCGTGTTTTACCTTTTATCAGGGGAAATTCGGATTTAATGTATCCGTTAAATTATACTCATTGTATGTTTGATGCTGGAAATATAAACAAAAACTTTATCCAATACGATATGAGTAAAAATGATGGTTTGTTTATCGGCCTTTATGAATGTTTTCTTCAATTCACTGGAAATCAACTTTTTAATCATTTAGTGGTAATTGAAGTTTTAGCGCGTACATATCATTAGTTAGGTAAAATAAGTCATATATATATATATATATATATATATATATATATTGATTGTTGGGATCTTCCTATTATTGTTTAGGATTATAATTGATCAGTCTCTCTTGGAATATGTGAGTCCTGTGTAGATTACCTCGACAGTGAGTTGCAGTGAGATCCAGTAACTATCTGGTGTCTGTAGATATATGGATTACGTAAGCAGTTTAAAGCGAACGGTACTGAATTAGAGTTTCATTGTGAATACTAGTTCTATGATGCAGGTGTGCCCAACCAACAAATCCAGAATAAACAAAATGCACGGCCTGGATTCCACTACTAACCGCTATACACCTCTGTTCAAAAAAATTCAGCTGTCCTCTGTTTTTCTATAAAAACAATAATTGATCATCTTCAAGCAAAATCATTTTGGTTTATTTGTAAATAGTTGAGAGAAGTTCCAAGATCTAATTCAATTCACTTAGAATTCAAGTTAGTTTGATCATACGAAAACTTGACTGATCGAATATAATCAACATTACCTACTTACTTATTCTCCAATCCACTCTGTCCTGGACCTTCCTTTCTAGTTCTGTCCAATTTTTGTTCATTCTTCTCATATCTGTCTCCGTTTCTCTATGGAATGTGTTCTTTGGTCTTCCACTTCTCCTTTGGCCTTGAGGATTTCATGTAAGGCCATGTCTTGTGACGCAGTCGGGTGCTTTCCTCAATATGTATCCTATTCACTTCCATTGCTTCTTCCTGATTTCTTCCTCTACCAGGATCTGGTTTGTTCTCTCTCTCCCACAGTAGATTGTTGCTGATAGTTTCCAGCCAACGGATTCAAAGTATTTTGTGTCGATAACTATTAATAAAAATTTGTAGTTTTTGGATGATGACTTTCATATTTCTCAACGTTTTCGTAAAACTCTCTTGATATTTCTATTGAAAATTCTGACTTTGATATGGATTGACAATTATTTTGAGTTTCAAATGTTCTTCAATTGTAAATATGCTGTTCTTTCTTTACCAATTCACACCTTCACATCTGTATCAGATCCACCATGTTCATCAATGATGTTGTCCAGATATGTAAAAGTTTTTACATGTTCCAAATCTTTTCCATCAAATATGTTTTGATTGTTGCATGCTATATTGTATTAAAGAATCCTAATTCTCCCTTTCTGTATATTGAAACATTAAGAATTAAATAAATAGATCATTCATTGTTACTAATTAACTAGTCAGTATTTAATATCAGATGGGTTTTTGTGGAGATTGTAGTAATTTCAATGGTTAAGATCATGAGTCAGTTGAAGCTAGACCACCATGGAAAACCTGGAAGCACTGGACGGCCGTTTCGTCCTATTGTGGGACTCCTCAGCAGTGCGCATCCACGACCTCGCCCCCTGCGAGATTCGAACCCAGGACCTACTGGTTTCGCGCCCGAGCACTTAACCACTAGACCACTGAGCCGGTATCTAGTCAGTATTGAATATACTTTTAATTATCAGTAATTATCGTTATGTTTGAAGTGATGTTTCCTTTCCCTCCCCCTTTTTTTTCAAATAAATAGATCAATGGATTTCCAACACGTCATTGGGGTTGGGGTAGTGAAGATGATGAATTTTCAGCACGTGGTTTAATTTATAATTTAAAATTAACTAGACCACCAGAATTTATTGGACGTTATAAAACACCAAGACATAAAAAACATTCTATATCTATAAAACATCAAAGTGAATTTATTAAATTTCGTAATTATTTACATGATGGTTTATCTATTTTAATAAAAAAAAATTTTTATCAAACATGGAAATTAGAATCCATTCATAAAAAAATCAATAAAATTGTATTCAATCATCATCATTATAATAATATTGAAACATTTAAAATTCCTTCATTTTTTAAGGAATGTACGCGCCAAAATATTTTTAAACAATTAAATATTACTAATGATTCTTCTATTGAAATTATTCATAATTTAAAACAAATTTCATTAGATAATATTCAATTATTAAATTATTTTTCACGGGATGATTTATTTATACATTTTATATTTGATCCAATAGATTTATATAAACAATATAAAAATTTAATAAAACCTAAAGGTAATCATACTGATGAATCTTTATGGTGGTTTCTACATTTCTATGGATGGATATAATATATATCTTCTATAGGATATATATATATATATATACTTTTTGCTTGTACCATATATATTTTGATTACGTAATAGATAAATCACCTTCAAAATGGAGTTGTATTTTGCAGTTAACAACCGAAGCAAACTCTCGATTTATATATATGCAGATGTAGACATTTTGCTTGTACCATATATATACGAAAATCAATAAGATGGAAAATAGTAGTTGGGTATATCTTGTACAAAGATATTATTATTTCTTTATATTATTCTTATTTTATTTACAAATAATTAACTTTATGCGTACATATTCTTTATATCTATGTATATAATAATAATAATAATTATTATTATTATAATTTTCAAACTGTACACCGGTGGTTTTGTCTATATTGAATAATTAGCAAAGAAGAAGTTCTAATGTGATATACAATGTATGTTAAGTATAAGTGTATATTTATGTTTATTCGTTAGATGACTCCTGTTTTTTCTTCTTTATTATTTTGATGTAAATTATATATAAAGAATAGAATATAAATGGTTTGTAAAGTGTATGTCTCTTTTGTTTGTTTGTTTGTTGCTTACTTATTTCATTTTGATTTGTTGAACTGGTTCTATTGTTCAATCCTGATAATGATAAAATAACATTCTATTCACAAATTCAGTCACTTACTTTAAAATGAGAAGAATGTTTGGTCGATTGTAAGGGTATATCATTTTTCCACTATCTAGTATGCTCATTGTACCAGGTCATGATGTTTAGTAACCATTGTAATTTGACTGTTGGTTGAAAAATTGAAAGTTTTGATACGTTAGTTGTGAAGATTAGTTCAATTATGAAATGAATCATTGAAAGCACTGACTATCCCATTTTTAGTTCAATCTACACCCACGAGCTAGTTAAGGATTAGAACGAGGACATACAGTTATCATGGAAATCACATTTCTCTAAACCACTAAAATAAAATGCAATGGTTCAGATTTCCAACTGCATTTAAATTGTGGTTTGGTTCAATTGTCATCCAGTATCATATGTAAAGCCCGCCTTCTTTTAAATACATTTGAATTTCACCAGTCATGTCGTCTTAGTAAAAAGTAAAGTTTGCCATGTTATTAGTTACCTAAAATTCAAACAAGCTTAAAAGATTTAGTTCAACAAAGAGTACGAAATCCCTGTAAAGACGCAATAAGGAAAGGAATACTAAAGAAACTACTCCCTAAGTTTATTATAGCTGTTTGGAAAATATAACATAGTGGACTACCATATTAATAACTTAACTCTTGAGCGTTTGATCCTATTTTACCTATCCAGGTAGTCAGTAGTTTTTCCTGAACAATATATCTAGCGGATAATACACTGATCAACATAGTACCGTATAATTACCCTCTGTGCCTACAAGTGCATTCTGTTTACTTTCTAATAAGTTCCCCTTTTTCATTTATCACGAAATTTAGCAGATAACTTATGCGTAATACGTAAGAAAACGAAAACAACAATATTCACGAAATACTATTAATTTAGCGTATCTTGTTTCTTTTTTTTCGGATTAATGCAATGTAATAAGTTTAGTAATTTCCAATTATTAAAGTTATGAAAGCGCTAGGCGGCCGCTTTGTCCTAGTACGGAATACCTCAATGGTGCGCATCTACGATCTCGCACGCAAGACTTGAACCCAGATCCTTCAGTTTCGCGCTCGAATGTTTAACCTACAAACCACTGGGCCTGTATTCACTGTTATACAAGCCTAACCTCAATAGACCCGCAATATTGCCTTATCATCTCACATAACAAAATGAAACTAACATGCAGTTCTTCCATGCCTTCAGTGGTTGTCTGACTCAAATCGATTCATGATTTCAATAAAATTCCACCATCTCGGCAATTACATACTGACTATTAATACAATTTTAAATTTGAGAAAAATGTCAAAAAGCACTAATCATAAACAAACAGTTCGTTTAGAATGTAAAAGAGGTTAGGAATCCCATTTTAACAAAGTTTCTATGGTTGTTTACAACAGTCTAATAATATCTACAATGTTATTTAGTATTATAATAGTGACCTAGGAAGTCACGAATATAATCCATTGAAGAAAAAGGGTCAAAATAATAATTCTGCTTCTGTGACCAGGGCAAGTAAAGGTTAATTACTGACTTTTTTGATATAAAGTCAAGTTTAAGCCAGCTAATGTTTATGGCTTCGGCCAAAATTCATAAAATCAAATTGAACGGTCTGTTAATGACTTTAGATGCATTCATAAAGTCAATATTGCACCTTGTGTACAACAGATGTCTTCTTATTGAGCTACAAATGCTGTTTTATCCTGAAAGGCGTATATTCCTGGTAATATGCTCAACAAATCAAATAGAAGTCTATCTTTTCTGTCTTTCAAATGTACATGCTTTTAGATGTGCATGTCAATTGATATTCATAATGAGAGGTGACATATAATCAGTACTTATCTACTTTTGTTTATCTTACTGAATATAGATTCCCATCATATAGAATTGATTTCGTAGAATCAAATTTGATTTTCGAATTCCGCTTATTTTTTGATTATTTTTACTTATGGTTCAATCACCTTTGAATGTCAGTTATTTTGGGGGTTTATAAACTTCCGTTTTGTTTACATATTGAGTATTATATTAGTATCAGAATGGATTTTGCGGAGATTGTAGTAATTTCAATAGTTGAGATCATGAGTCACTTGAAGCTAGACCACCGAAGGAAAGCCGTTTCGTCTTAGATCCTGGGTTCGAACTCCGCGAGGCGGGGTCATGTATGCGCACTGACTAGAAGTCTTACAATAAGGGGAAACGGCCGTCCAGTGCTTCCAGGTTTTCCATGGTGGTCTAGCTTCAACTGACTCATTATCTCAATTATTAAAAGTATTATATTTCTTTAAAAATGATTCAGTGTATTCATTTTCTCTGAGATAATTGTTTATCACAGTACACTATTATTGTAATATTAGTTCAGGAATATAATTTATCATCAAATAGTTTTCCTTTCTCTATTCTAATTGACCAATATTCTATTATTGTACTAGATAACTTCATTAATGTTTACATAATAACTTTGAATGATTACTTAAGTTGATGTTTGTCTATTGTTTTAATGGATATATTACATATCAACAATAGATCTATTTTCGCAAATTGAATTATAAAAAAGATAAGAAGGGAACTATGCCAAATACTGAGTTGTTTGAATGATCAAAAAATTGTTTTACAATGATTGTCATCGTCACTAACTGACTGAAGGATACATTGTCATATCTATAATCTACTCACTATTCTTATCATTTTCAAATTACTTATGAACAAATTAATGTTGGTCAATTAATAGTTATAGATTCAGTTGGTATTGTTTGTTTGAATCTTCCCAGTGATGTTTAGGACTGTTAGCTTCAAATGCCATCACATTATCCACTTAGCTACTGAGTTCTGATAGCCACTTGGTTGTGCAATGAGGTGAAGTTTAAATTCACTTTGTATTGCTTGTTCGAATCCTCCCATTGATGTTTAGGACTGCAATTGATCAGTCTCTCTCTTACTGGCATATGTGTATACTGTGTGGATTGTCTCGATATTGCCTTAATTCACAAGCATTATGAACAAAGATGAATAGATGCTAAAAGCGGAATCCAGGATGAGCGTTTCATCCTATTTGGGAATAGTCAGTTGGATGTACCTGCATCTCAGAGAAGATTTTTGCTCCACGACTCGAACCCAGTGACGTTCACTTCAAATGTCATCGCTTTATCCACTTACCGTCCTGGATTCTACTGCTAGCCATCATCCATCTTTACTTATAAAGCCTGTGACTTAAGGCAATAGTAAGGCAATATGCACATATGCCAATAAGAGACTGATCAATCGCAGTCCTAAACATCAATAGGAGGATTCGAACAAGCAATACAAAATGAATTGAAACTTCACTCCATTGCACAACCAAGTGGCTATCAGAACTCAGTAGCTAAGTGGATAACGAGATGACATTTGAAGCCAACGTTACTGGGTTCGAGTCGTGGAGTGAACATCAACTCTGAGATGCAGGTACATCTAGCTAACGAGTCCCAAATAGGACTAAACGCTCATCCTGGATTCCACCGCTAGCCACCAACCATCTTTATCTGTAATTATCAGTTATAGTGAGTTTTGAATAAAATCATTTCTGAAAAATATGTAAGTGTCCTTCACCTGTTGCGATGTCTGATTATATTTTGTTGTATTCAATTTCTAGGACAGTCTCTCCCATTGATTCCTGAATAAATTATTAGAATTATAGCATAAAAGGTTGTTTGCAATAATAATTACGTAATGTGAATAATAATAATATTGTGTGTGTGCCTTGTAAAATTAATAAGTCAGCAACGGATTATAATATGAATGAAGTAAGATGATTAAAATGTTTTTGTTGTGCTAATCAAAGGTAATAGATGTGGTTAAAAATGAATTGATATTAGAAACAATTATGAATAAAATCATGAGTAGCAAGGTATATAGGCTGTAGACAGCTCATGCTTTCAACTCGGATATACAAACATATCCCAGGATCGTTCTACATGGGTGAAGGGAAGGTAGTTGAAAGTTCCATACTTTAACATCTCATCGAATCTAATCATTTTACCAATTCACAGGTTAATTTTAAGGCCATTTGTACAATTCATCCAAACCTACCTAGATTTCTTTCTACTTAACTCCTTAAAACAGTAGAAGCTCTTGCCATCCATGAGTTGAAGCCAGATATGTACGTACAAAAGAAGTATGTCTTATCCTTATCGTTACCATGGTTTCAATTATTATTATTATTCATATTTGAAAGTGTATCCCTTTCCTTTTAATTATGTCGCATCTCCTCATGATTTTATTCATAATCGTTTCTAGTATCATTTAACCCCATCTGTTACCTTTGTTTGGTGTAGCAAAAACATTTTAGTCATCTTATTTCATTCATATTATAATCTGTTGCTAACTTATTAACCTTACAAAGCGTTCTATAACAATTTTTTTTATTTTCATCAAAACAATTAAACAATTATTGACTGTAATCATTGAAAACTAACCATCCTTATTGTATATCCTACTATAGTTTCCTCATAAAATCAATCAATTACTGCAGAACAAAAGAATAAAGGTGAAACTATAATGATTCTTAAATAAATAAAATACCTATGTTCATATATGCATATAATAAATATATGTTTTGTTATATCCCAATGAGTAGAGAAATTGTATTTCGGGTGTTTCGTGACTTAATGTAAGTCAATTCTTCAGAGTAAATATATATGTATCCAGTGCACTTTTTGGAACTATATGACTCGAAATTACTTCCATCAACAAAATGATGAAGAGGAATACGATTGTCTGTGTTTAAGTGTATGTATATATGTATGTGTGTAAGTGGGTATGTTTGTCTAATGAACTATGGAAAATGTAAATGTTTCATTTCATCACAAGTTATGAATATAAGACGAGACGGCCGTCCAGTGCTTCCAGGTTTCCAATGGTGGTCTAACATCAATCGGTTCATAATCTCGATCAAACC